TATTTTTTTATGTCATTAAAATCTATGCTTCTTCGAAACCAGTAATAGTGATAATTCAAAAGAAAAACTTATATTAAAGTTTTGCCCAAAAGATACGGCAGACCAGATTTTATTGGGACTTTCATATGTTTTCTTTCTCAACATATAGTGGACTGCCAAGAACATTAATAATGCAAATCTGTGTTTGAACACAAATGACTCCCTACAAGGCCTGTTTTGATTATTAATGGAATTAATTATCTGCCTGCTCCATGCAGATACTGTGTTTTGGAATAACAGTTGATAATGAAAGACTAAGGCACATTTTAAAAATAGAATGTTTGATAATACAAATTATTTCTATCATACAAAGAATCAGTGAGCAAATATGGAGGCAATGCCTTCTCCCTTCTCCCTTTTTACTGGTCATCAAGAAACTCCTCTCCTGTGAGTGTATCTTATTGCCATTTTCCAAACACAGAAAAATAGACTGGGATGTTCAGAAGAGCCACCAGTTTTGCCAAACTAGAAACTCAAATTTTATCATGTTGCCCAAGTTATTTTCAGTCAAGAAACTGGGAAGTTATGCTAGCTGTGGGCATTGTTTGAGGCCAGCCCCTTCCCAAGGACCTCAAAATTGCTTTGAAGTATCAAATATTCTGCCTTCTTTCAGAGTTTCAATGGCTACATGTCTTTACAGAAAGAATACTTTACAGCCCAGTGGTTTTATTATGAAAATGTGCTTTAGATGTGGTGATTTTCATAAAATCTGCTAGTCTGTGTCAGGACAGCATATCTGTGTGCCCTTGTTCCATAATCTCAGGAAGACTCTAAAACATTTCCCCCAGAAGCCTTATAGTTCCGTGAGTGTACTTTGATATCTATTTCTTTAGAGAAAATAGAAGCCATTTGCGTAAAAAAAAAATCCATGGTAAACATCATGGATTCACCTATCAATTTTCTGATAAGCTTTACTCATTTAATAAGTTTAAATTGAATGACTGTGTAAGACATGTCTATGTTCTATATATATATATATGGAGAGATATATGTATTGATATAGAGGAATATATACATAGATCTATAATATATATATCCATTCATATATATGTATATGTAGTAAATATATATGTATATATATGTATATGTGTGTGTATGTATATGTATGTGTGTGTGTGTAAATACACACACATATATCATATATATGTCATATATATATGATAATCTCTGTCTCCAGGCAGGGAGGAGATTGGCACTCCTAGATGAGACATCATTTCACTGCACTTTTATAAAAGACTTTTGGACACTGCATGAGATGCTGCCATCATTGATTTGACCATTTTCCACTCACCCTGTCATTGTAAAATGCCATTTAAAAGGCTGCTGGTTACAGTTTCTGAGATTGTCATAGTTGCTATGTTCCTGTACTACTAATATTGCTTTATTAACAATTCTTGTTCACATTAGCACTATAATTCGTATAATTATTTACCTCAGACCTACTTATTATGGCACATACTTCTAGTAAGAAAAGATTCTTGGAAATATCCTCTTTGATATCTTAGATTATTTAAACTTTCTTACTACCCAGGGTGCCTGGGTGGCTCAGTCAGTTAAGCATCTGCCTTCAGCTCAGGTCATGATCCTGGGGTCCAGGTTCCCTGCTCAGTGAGGAGTCTGCTTCTCCTTCTCCCTCTGTTCCTCCCCCTGCTGGTGCTCACTCTCTCTCAAATGAATAGATAAATACAATCTTTAAAAAAATAAACTCTCTTACTGTCTGTAATATCATGTTGCATCATAGTCCCAGGAAAAAACCTACATATATTGGTATGTTTCTAGGAAAAGTCCCAATTTGGTGAAAGCCCAATAGCTCCATTCTAAAACCCACTGTCTCTGGGTACTTTCAACTAGCAAAGAGTAACTTTCAGAATTAAAAAAAAAGGTCTGGAACTTTCTGACTTTCCAGTATAAATAGTAGAGCAGTGATACCAAAAAAATTTGATTCTCTCTCAATCTCTTCTAATGGGTTGTTTCTCCAGGAAAGTGTTATTCTAAAGTAATTCACTCTCTCAGAGATCACCAGGGTTTAAATGACAAGAGGGAATTGCAATCAGATATTCCAGTTCATACACCAATTTAGGTCAGTTCACAATTTTTTGTTTTTAAAGGCAATGCTGGGCAAATTTTTATTTTCAGTTCAGTTGACACAGAGGATTTTTTATTTTGAAATCTTTTTTTTAAAGATATTATCTCTTAGAAAGAGAGAGAGCACAAGCTGGGGGAGCGGCAGAGGGGGAGGGAGAAGCTCCCCACTGAGCAGGGAGCCTGATGAAGGATGCAGAACTCGATCCCAGGATCCCGGGATCATGACCTGAGCCGAGGGCAGACACTTAACCTACTGAACCACCCAGGCACCCCTGAAATCTTTCTACCTAGAAATGAAATGATGAAATGCTCACAGATTATGTATCTAAGTGTAATGGTCAGAATAGATCAGAGATGAAAATATCAAAAGAAAAGAACAAAATCATAATTGCATAATTCTGATAGCTGTGGTGATGCTTTCAGTACATGAAAGATTAGAATATTTCGGGGGGCATCTGGGTGGCTCAGTCCATTAAGCGTCTGCCTCCGGCTCAGGTCATGGTCCCAGGGTCCTGGGATCGAGCCCCGCATCGGGCTCCCTGCTCCACGGGAAGCCTGCTTCTCCCTCTTCCACTCCCCCTGCTTGTGTTCCCTCTCTCACTGTGTTTCTCTCTCTGTCAAATAAAAAAAATAAACTCTTTAAAAAAAAATTAGAATATTTCTGAACATAACAATAATGCTGGGTCCATAAGAGCAAACTTTTTCCATGTGTCTTTTTCTAGTACTTGATGCCTTTTAAAAATGTATTTGAAAGTTACTTTATTTCTCTAAGCATGTACTCTAAATTTAAAAGTTGCAAAATACTTCTTATTATGACAAAAACACTCCTAGGTATTCACTAGGAATCCATTTATAATTCTTTCTTATATAAAAAAAAGAAAATATGAAGAATGTAACAGGCAAGTGAAGTCATATATGCTGTATGTATCTTAGACTTTATAGCTGAAGAGCAATTCAACCTGTTTTGCTATTGAAAATACATACAACTTATTACAAATTTTAATTTCATTGTCCTTTACAACTTGACATGGTTAGAAGTTTTAATGCACAGTTCGCAGACACTAGTGTAGCTTAAAAAAGGAAAAACAAGCTGAAAGGCCCGGCTTTATTCGGGTTTTGTTGGGCTGTTATAATGCATGAAATGGGCCTAGTGTGGAGTCAGCAGGCAATCAGTTTTGCTACAATCATGAAATAAAGAGAGAGGTAGGGAGGGAGGGAAAGAGAGGCGGGGGTGGAGGGCAGGTAGGCGCAGGCTCCAGGAAAAAAAAAAAAAAAGATTTTAAGAAAGTCAACTTTGCAAAGGTTTTTCTACAAATGGTGATTTCTCTTCATGTATTTTTTAAGCCTAGCTAGTTGGTTTTTTTTTCTAATTTTTAACATAAAAATTCCCCCTCCCAGTGATTTCCAAACATACAATACAATATTGTCAACCATATGCATGTTGTTGTGCGTAGACTCACCAGAAACCCTCCCCCCATCCTGCATGATTGAAACTACACCCAGGGAACAACCCCCTGGCTCCCACCTCCCCCTTCCCCAGCCCCTTGCCACCACCCTTTGACTTCTCTTCTGTGTTTGACTGCTTCAGATACCTCGTATGAGTACAACCATGCAAAATTTGTCTTTTTGTGATGGACTTATCTCACTTAGCATTATGTCTTCAAGGTTCATCCACACTGTAGAAGGACAGGATTTCCTTCTTTTGTTAAGGCTGAATGATACTCCACTGTAGTTCTATACCGTATTTTCTTTTTCCTTTCTTTCTTTTTTTTTTAATTTTTTAAACTTTATTTCATTATGTTAGTCACCATATATTACATCATTTGTTTTTGATGTAGTGTTCCATGATTCATTGTTTGCATATAACACCCAGGGCTCCATTCAATACGTACCCTCTTTAATACCCATCACTGGGCTAACCCACCCCCCTCCACCCCTCTCTCCTCTAAAACCCTCAGTTTGTTTCTCAGAATCCATAGTCTCTCATGATTCATCTCCCCTTCTGATTCCCCCCCTTTCATTTTTCCCTTCCTACTATCTTTTTTTTAACATATAATGTATTATTTGTTTCAGAGGTACAGATCTGTGATTGAACAGTCTTACACAATTCACAGTGCTCACCATAGCACATACCCTGCCCAATGTCCATCACCCAGCCACCCCATCCCTCCCACCCCCCACCACTCCAGCAACCCTCAGTTTGTTTCCTGAGATTAAGAATTCCTCATATTAGTGAGGTCACATGATACATGTCTTTCTCTGATTGACTTATTTTGCTCAGCGTAACACCCTCCAGTTCCATCCATGTCGTTGCAAATGGCAAGATTTCGGGGTTTTTTGATGGCTGCATAATATTTCATTGTGTGTGTGTGTGTGTGTGTGTGTGTGTGTGTGTGTGTGTACACACACACATACCACATCTTCTTTATCCATTCATCTGTTGAAGGACACCTTGGCTCTTTCCATAGTTTGGCTATTGCGGACATTGCTGCGATAAACATTGGGGTGCACGAACCCCTTCAGATCCCTACATTTGTATCTTTGGTATACCGTATTTTCTTTCTCTGTTCATCTGTCTGTGGACATCTAGGTTGCTCTCACCTCAGGCTCGGGTGAATAGCTGTCTTCATGTAATTTTAAATTCAGCTGGAAAGCGCAAATTGTGCCATCTCCAGTCTCACATTGTTACTTTGCTTTCCTTTTTTTTTTTTAGTTTTTAGTTTTTAGCCAAGTTGTTGAAAATGTGCCTATGTACTGACTGAATGATGGTGGACCACAGATTTTTTTTTTTCCCATATAGATAACGATAAGATAGTCCTGGTCAAGGCGGAATAGCGCTGTGACTTGACAGTCCCGGCATGCTGTTGTCATTGCAGGACGAATCGGCCCCGGCTGACAAACAGTGTAAGCCAGAGGCGGCCCAGGCCCCTTACTCCGCCTCAGCTGTTTCCGGCTCCCAGGAGGTGCTGTACATCAACGGAAACGGGACCTACAGTTACCATAGTTACCGAGGGCTTGGCGGGGGTCTGCTCAGTCTCAATGACGCTTCCAGTAGTGGTGAGTCGTTACTATTTACTGTGCTTTTTCTGTCCATTTGGGGATAGCAGATTCTCTAAATCTGAGAGGAGAAAATGAATTTACTGTGATACACAAGAGTCACTACCAATCCGCTAAAAACAAGACCGTTTAATAGGTCACATTCGTCTCCCTACAAGGATGTCTCCCTGTTCTGTTGCTGTTTCCGAAAGTAGTGGCACTATGATGCAGCTGGATAATTGATGTTTTTCACTCAAAAAAAATCTCAACTAGAGAAGTAGCAATTTTTTTTTTCTAACCAAATAGTTATACATTCTTCCCCCCCAAAGCTGTAATGCACGATTTGTCAAGAATAATGACCCATTTTTTCAACATTCAAAGAGGTTTTTAATTTGGAAAATTTGAGGCACCAGAACTTTACTGACTTGATAAAACACAACTAGTCATTATACCTAAGAATATATGAACGGAAACAACACATAGAAACAACCCGTGGCTGTCCATGCTCCGCCAGCGATGAATGGTGTGCTGGAGCCAGCTCATACTGGCTCATGCTTGGTAAACTTTTAGGAATTTCTTGAGCTTATATACCAAAATGAGTTTCAAATGTGTAATATAAAAGGAATAAAATACATGGGTGAATTTCTTATAACTGAGTTGTAGGAAAATTTTCCTAAAGTATACTTAAAATCCAGGGAAAAAATAAGTTCCGTTTCACACACACACGCACATGCACACACACTTTTGTATGACAAGAAAACATTGTACACAAAGTAAAAAATAAATGATAAAGTGGGAAATTATTAGCTACCTATACTATAAAAGGTTAATAAGCCAATACATGAAGTTCTTCGAAAAAGAAATACCCAAAACTATATATTAAAAAAGTAAGGTTAAAAAATGAATAATACACAGTTTCCAAAGAAAGAAACGCAAATATCCCTCAAATATGGGTAAAGTTACTTAACCCCACTCACTCCTAATAAGAGAAATGCAGATAAGCAAAAAGCAAAATATTTACACAATACTCTTTTGACAAGGCTGTGGGGGAAATGAGGATTCTCATGCATCGCTTGTAGAAATGCAAAAAGTCGGGGTGGAATTTGGCAGTGTCTAGAAAAATTAAATATGTAGTTACCATTCAGTCCAGCAATCTCTTTAGGAATCTCGTTAGGAATTTATCTTAAAGACATATGAGTAAAACATACAAAAAGACATATGCACAAGGCTATTTATTGTAGTATTATTTATAAATGCAAGAAAAAAGGATTACAATAAAAATGTCCACAATTAAAATGTCTATCAATTGAAGGTTAGTTGATTCATTTCGAGTGCTTCCAAACAAGAGAGTAACATGCAGCTATAAAAAGTGATAAAAAATCTCTTTATGCATTCCAAATCCTGAAAAGTACCTATAGTATGCTAACATTCATTAAAGAAGGATTTATATAATTAAAAAAAATTTTTTTGCATAGAGGCAGGAATGGGGGAGAACAGTATGGGAAAGGAATGTAAATTGGAATTGTGAGTATACTTGGTTTTTATATTTTGTTTTATAAATTTAACTTTGAACAATTTAAATACATAATTATAAACCAAACTGACTTTAAGAATTCCTGATATTGAAAGAAAAATGATGCAAATGAACTTTATCTGTTTAATGAGTGGTTGGCATAGCCCCCACACAGAGGAACTTTTCCAAGTGATCTCAAAAACCATTATTTGACTCCAGAGCATGTAAGTGTATCATAAAACCTTAAACTATTTTCAGTAATGATATTATTATTTTGGGACTGTTTGTGCATTGTGGTTTAAAGGAAATTTATAATTCTGTGATGTCAGTGAAAGTTGGAGTTTTTAGCAGGAGCAAAGTAGTTATAGATGTAAAAGCAATACGTTCAAACAAAAACTCCATACTCTTGTATTTGAATTGGTAGCTATCAGTGAGACATTTTCTACTTTAAAATGCCTGAAAATAAAGACCAATTTTAATTTGAATATTTGAATTAGGCTTGGTGGGATTTTAATATATTTGGGAGGATTGGTGGGATTTTAATATATTCAATTAATAATTGAATTATTAGTGTCAAAGGAGTATGTACTCTAGAAAATCACTTACCTCTATAATACCGGAAATATGCTCTGAGTGTGTTCAGGGGTGACTCTGTTTGGAAAACTGGGGCTGGCTCTTTGGTCTGCTTTAAAATTAAAGGTGCTCTAAGGACAGGATCACTGAGCTTTAGTCTGAATCAGTTGCCTCCAAATCAAAAGAGGGGTGCCTCAAGTAGAAGGGAAAAAAAAGAAAGCCTCTTATTTAGGAAAGAAACTAAGTTTCAAATGTATATTCAGTTTTTTCCAAAGCTAATGAGCCTTCTCAGTTGTTTTTAAGTCTTACTTGTATTTAGACAGCAAATTAGCTGAAATGAGAAAGTTCAATACCAGAAAAGGACAACATAAACAAAAGCTAAACATTCCTTTAGCCAGTGAAGCTGGAAACTAACAATTCTTTTTAAATATTTGACACGGGAAATAAGAACTGATAGGTAGTTCAGAACTCAACCACCAAATCAAAACTTTTGGGGGAAAAGTTATTGACTGTAAATTTTATTGACAGAAACTTTGTTTTTTAGACTTAAACAGTCATTCATTTATTAAAGGAATTTATTTAACATCAAGTAATAGCAATACCAATCACTTACTGAGTCCTTGTGGTGCTTCATGTAATTTCCATTTATTCCTTACACAGTCCTCTGAGATCTGTTTTGCAATTTTGTGGGAAAATTTTATAAAATTGAATTTGCCCCAACTTAAAAAAAATAATGCTTGGGCGCCATTTCCTTTTTTTTCTAACATGATTGAAACCCATTTTGTGAGGCTCAGAGACAGTGAGTGACTTTCGCATGGTTCCTCCTTAATAAAGGGAGGAGCCAGGATCTGAGCACAGGCTTTCTGACATCAGAGGCCACACTGTAAACCACTGAGCTAACAATCTGTGCAAAGGAAGCAAGTGCTGAAGTATGTGATAGCCTCTGGTAAGAACTAATCAACTTTTTTTCTCCAGAGACACTCCTATTCTGGACATTTTATTTAATGGGAGAATCGTACAATATGTGGTCTTTCGTGTTAGGCATCTTTCATTTAGCGTGCTGTTTTAAAGGTTCCTCTATATTATAGTATGAATCAATACTTCATTCGTTTTTATTACCAAATTATGTTCCATTCTGTAGCTATGCCATATTTTGTTTAGCCATTCAATTGATGGGCACTTGGATTTTTCTCACTTTGGGGTTACTATGAATAATGCTATAAACATTTATGTACAAGTTTGTGTATATATGTTATGATTCTTTTGGGTATATACCTAGGAGTAGAATTGCTGGTTCATACATGTGGTAACTCTATGATTAATTAACATTTTGAGGAAATAATAGACTGACTATGAGATGTCTTTTCGTTTGTTATCAATCTTTAAAAATTTTTAACTATGTCTTGTAATATTTACAGTACAAGCTTTGCACTTCTTTTACAGCTATTTCCTTTTGTGATGCTGTTGTAGGTGGAATGTTTACTTTAAAATTTTATTCTATATTTTTCTATGTTTGGAGGAGTTTGTAAAGTAGTGGTATTAATTCTTTAACTGTTTGGTAGAATTCAGGAGTGATGATATCTGTGTCTGGGTTTTTCTGAGGGGTTTTTGATCACTAACCCAATCTCTTGTTATAGGTCCACTTATATTGTCTATTTCTTCTTAAGTCAGTTTAGGTAGTTTGTGTATTTCCAGAAATGTGTCCATTTCAGCTGAATTATCTAATTTATTGACAAAGTTGTTCATAGGATTCCTTTATAATTCTTTCTATTTTCATAAAGTCAGGAGTGATGTTCCCTCTGTAATTTCTGATTCTAGTTATTTGAGTTCTCCCCTTTCTTCTTGGTGACTCTAGCTAAAGGCTTGTCATTTTGCTTGATATTTTCAAAGAACAAGCTTTGGCTTCTTTTATTTTCTGTATTATTCTATTCTCTATTTCATTGATTTTTACTCCTTCATTTCGCTTACATTAAGTTCAGTTTGTCCTTATTTTCCAGTCTTAAGCTGAAAAGTTAAGACATTTATTTGAAGCCCATTTCTCTTCTTCATATACAACTATTTACAGCTTTAAATTTCCTTCTAAGCATTTCTTTATCTGCATCAAATAGGTTTTGGTATATTGTGTTTTTGTTTTCATTCACCTTAAAGTGTTTTCTAATTTCCTTTGTCACTTCTTTTTTGACCCACAGGTTATTTAGGAGCATGTTGTTTAATTGCCACATATTTGTGAATTTCCCAAATTTATTTAATGATTTCTAATTTTATTCCATTGTAATTGGAAAACATACTTTATATTTCAATCCTTTCAAATTAGTTGAAGCACTTTTTATGACCCAGATTATGATCTATTCTAGAGAATGTCCCATGTGTACCTAAGAAGGATGTGTATTCTGCTGTTGATGGTTGGGTATTTATAAATCTGTATTAGGTCTAGTTGGTTTATAGTGTTGTCCAAGTTTTCGATGTTCTTGTTGATCATCTGCCTAGCTATTATATCCATTATTAAAAGAGGGTTACTGAAGTCTCCAACTATTATTGTTTACTTTGCCTTCATTTCTAATAGTTTTGGTTCATTTATTTTGGGACTTTGTCATTAGGCATATTTATTGTTTATATTGTTATATCTTATTGATGGACTAACTCTTTCATCATTGTAAAATATCCCTCTTTAGTAACTTATTTCATCTATTTTGCCTAATATTAGTTATTTCTGTAATATCATGGCAGTACTGAAAATGAAGAGAAGCGTGCAGAACTTTGGACATGGAAGTGACATATAAAAGAATATAGGACAAATTGAGTATTGCTCACCTCTACTCAAATACAACCAAAATAATCTATCTTTGCTCCGTAATGGCTGTGTAATTTGGGAACCCAATGCCTAGTGAAAATGTAGGGCTTCTTATTTAAAAAGTAAGAATATCAACAGAGCATT